GTGTGTGTGTGTGTGTGTGTGTGTGTGTGTGTGTGTGTGTGTGTGTGTGTGTGTGTTTAGGAAGTTGTTATGTTCACACTATTTAACTTCTCTGAAAGACTGGAAGAAGCTGGAGGATTCCTGTTAACTAAATCCATCAAGGCACACTTGCACGCATCCCCCCCCACACACACACACACAAATAATATGCCTGACAAATTCTACACATGTTTAATTGTGTCCTAATTAAACCCATTAAGACGACGTGTGCACAGCGACAGTTGTGGTTGTTGCACAACTGGTCCTCCGCTTTGGTCCCTCGGCTCGTTCCGCTCTTGCGTTTATTTGATCAGTGTTGTGAAGTGGGCCTCACCTGTTCTTGTCCTAGTGGGGGTTGGATCTGTGTTGCAGTTGGAGGGAAGAGCTTTACTGACTTTACACACAGCACACACACACACACACACACACACACACGTACAACTGTTGCTTCCATTTGTCCTTTGTGCCCTCTCAGTTTGCTCAACCCGCCAGTTAAAATAAAAGAACATTGTTGATCAAATGTGTGCTTCAAAAACATCTGTGTCCATTAAATCCTAAATGCTTTCAGTATCTTTTCAATATAAATAAAATGAATACATTAATGTATTCATCCAGCATTTGTCTCTCAACGTATCAAAAACATAGACACTAATAGTCTCAGATTACACAATCAGTTCAACCCATTTTCAAAAAATACACGTTTCTTCTGACCTGTAAAGCTATCAAGCAATCTAGATCTTTTTGTGGATATATGGTCTGGAGAGATTCTTCACGTATTCCAATGTAATGGAACTATTTTGCCTGCAATGTGGAATTGTCCCTTTTAATACTTATTTTGTGTAAAGCAGTAGGGAACATACAGTAAGTAACTAATTATCCTCTTACGTAGCTTATAGTTTCATTGATGCAAAGATAGACTTGAGTAATGTACCTGAGCACAGAATGAATCCTTGCATTGTTGGCATAGCATGTCCAACAGTCTAAGCCCAACAGCCCCCTTCAGGTAAACCCTGTTAGCTCTGTGAGGATTCCTGCAGGCCCATGTGCTTATATTGGAGCTGGACGTCATCACCACATTGATGTATTACAGTATGAAGTTGATAAGGCGAATGTAACCAGACATTAGCCAACGGATGAATGCAACGTTCATTCTCCTCTCAGTTGTTTTTGGTCTCCACCAAGCTACTAAACCCTCTTCTGTGTTCACCAGCTCGTCTCTTAATGTGTTTTTTTCTGCCTTTCAGCAGGTATAATATTCCCTCGCATCAGTGCGGAGCTTCTCGTGTCCCTCCCATTTGGAACAGTTTGTCCCTTTAATATCAATCGAGCGGACTGCAGTGAAGCATCTAGGACTCTTCAAAGGAGTTGGTTCCCACGCCGTTCTCACACTGCTCACTTCTTGATGAATGGAACCGTTTTCTTTATGTTGCCGTTGAGCACTCTGGGTAGTTTTAGGACCGAGCGGAGAGGACAGGGTTCACCGACTGTCAGTCGGAGAGGAAAAGAGCACACAGCTGCTCCGTGGCATCTGTCCTGTCTGTCTTTACACACACACACACACACTCATATGGACACTGAATCTCTTTACACAACGATTTATGATATCACATCGCTACAGTTGATGTGACGGTGCAGAGAAAGCGTTTGGAACTAACTTTTCAGACTCGGACGAGGAAGGGAGAGAGAGAAAGAGAGAAAGTGAGGGAGGGAGAGGGGTTCACATTCAGCGTGACACAAATGGCTGGTGAGATGGCGCTTGTCGGATCGGGGCTCTTGTGATGACACACCCGAGATAGCGATAGTATAACGTTTCCCCCTGCTGCACAGAGGTGAGAAGTGGCCAGAAAAAAAGACAATATGTGTGTGTGTGTGTGAGTGTGTGGGATCGGTATGCGACCTTGGATTCAGTAAAGAGTCCAGTTGTGCCAAAGAATTTAGCAGGGCTCAGAGCACCGGGAGCGGAGAGGAGTCACCTAAAAAACCCAGGGTGACTCACTTATTTTTCTGGAGAGGCAGGACACATTCTTCCTGCGTGGGAGTCGTTGCTCATCTGTTATTAACAGACCATGTTGGCAGTGATGCAGAGGGCATTAGCTGTTTACAGAGTGATGGAACCGAAACATACGTCCCTGAGAACAGCGACTCCGGGTTATTAAACGGCGTCGAAAGATAGAAGAACCAAATAAAAAAAAATATTGAAGATGTAGACGGATACACACGTACCAGATAAGGGGGATAAACGTGTTACTCTTGTGTTCTCCTGAAATGTTTTCATCCAACATCAGTCAATATTTTGAACTCAAATAAGTCCTTCTAATTTACTGTGGTCATGTATAGCAGAACAGGGCACTTGCTGCACCAGAAGATTCAGAGAAAGTGGCATCAATACTCTGCGTGATACAGTACGTGTGAACTAAACTGTTAAATGTCAGACATTTTAAAGTTAAAAATAGTTCACTCTCTTTTACTGAGGGATCCCGTCTCTCGCGGTCAGGCTTCAGATTGGTGTCGCTCTCTGAAGTGGTACTGGTCGGATCTAGCATAGCCGTTGTTGCCACTGCATCCACAACGCTATAAATAATCGCTATTAGTTATCTATTAGCACATATGCTAAATTCACCAAAGGTATACCAGAGAGCTTCCTTCATATATGCAATTTGACTACTATTTTCATTTTACACCTATTAATGCGATTTTATTAGAAATAATAATTGAATAAAACTTTTCAATAAATCATTATGGAAAGTAATCATTTGTTGCAGTCAAATTGCAGGTTGTGATGATAATTGTTTTCTGACTTTTTTCCGACTGATTGCGTCATCCATTGTATAGAAACAATCAGTAACAATGATCGTTTTGAATTGAATTTTCTAGGTAAGCCCAGGTGAATAATCCAATGTCAACAGATAATGTATAAGTGGTAAATATAATGGATGGATCCCTCCATCTCAATTTAAGTGAAAATCCCTTCAATCAGACTCACTCTTGAGTTGTCTTTACCCACCTTAGTCGAAGGCAGGGACTTAGAAGGGTTTCGGTCCTGCAAAACACCACACATAAATACGCAACAAGGCTCCACCACCCCCACCCCCCCTGCTGAGGACAGCCGGTGTGTCGTGTGCGTGCGTGCACGCCCGCATGTGTGTGTGTGTGTGTGTGTGTGTCGCCAGACCCCGTTGGGGCTCATGTTTCTAAGTGCAGTCCGTCAGAGCCCAGCTTGGAGCGGCAGGCACCAGTGAGACCACACCAAATACATACGGGGGGGGCACATCAGAGGGCTTTCCAGCCCACAGAGAAGCTGCTGTTTGGGGCTCGGATTGGTCATAAAACAGCTGAGTGCCGTGGTTCTGCCTCCCGGCCTGCACAGTAGCACGGGCGTCTTAGGGAACACCTCTTTGCACAGACACACTGCTGGATTACTGCTTCACACCACACGGCTTTGGGAGCCTGTACATGCGGGTGGAGAAATTCTGTGAGTGCGACTGGTGGTAAAAAGGCTATTTTGCCTGAAAACCCACAGATGCTCTCCGGAGGCGTGGGGCCCGTTTGGCCCGTTTTGTGGTTAGTGGATATCTGAACTGTCCACAGGCCACTCGGCTTCCTCTCAGCGGTTGTTTAGTTGCCGGACGAGTCCGTTGGCAGAGGCCTCGCGTCAGCGGCTGCACCGGTGGCCGTGTCTGGTGGGGGGTTACGCGTCTCGGCCCCCACCATGATGATCAAGGAGACGTCGTTGCGCCTGGACCCCGACCTGAGGGGGGAACTGGCCTTTCTGGCCAGGGGGTGTGACTTTGTCCTCCCGTCCCGCTTCAAGAAGAGACTCAAGTCATTCCAGCAGCAACAGGTCAGTCGGTGTAATAAGCGGTGATTGACCGGACGGGAGTTTGGACGCGGAGGCAAAATGCCAACTCATGACAAACTTAATATACTAAATACACTAATCCTAAATATATAAATCACATACATGTCTTTCTTTCTTTGTTTCTCTCTTAAACGCACACATATCATCCCATGGTTACACATACACATACAGTAGTTTCATCTCGTTGCTCTCATGAGCACATAGTGCCATGCCGGAGGCGACAATCTATTCTGAGGCAGATACCGGCAGGGTATTAATAGGGCAGGAGGTGCCGGAATAAAGTGATAGAAAGACCTTTGTGAAGGAGGGTGGGAGGTGTGCCGGGGGGTGCGGGCGCTCCAGCTGTCCTGTTCGGTGCCCGCACAGTAAGAAGGCCCTGAAGAAGACACACACCAGGCGGCAGGGAGCTCCTGCTCCGACACGCGGCGTAGTCCTGCAGTGGGCCAGTTCAATTCCCCGCTGTGTCTCTTCTCTATTTCCGTTATTGTAGGCTGTTGCTTTTCAACTAACATCTCACCTACTCAGCAGTGTACAATGTTGTCCTGTGACTCACATAATACATATGTGGATACATGTTATGTACAGTATGGTCAAACTGTTGCCCGTTGAGTGATTTTATGTTGATACAATAAGTTAAGCCCTAAATAGTCTAAACTAAACTGTTGTGCCTCCTACCTCCTTGTGTATCATTACTGCATAATTTCTGACTATGAAACAAGTCTGTCATGTTCACTATTATTTTCTGAGAAACCCACTATTACATTACATTGAGCCTGTGGTCCTTGGTGTATTTTTTCTAGAAGAAGTACTCAATTTCTTGAGTCTTACTTCCTATAAATACTATTATTAGAAGTTAGTTATCTATACAATCTGTACATTTTGATCAGGTAGAAACCAGGCAGCAATATGAGTGCTGTCAATTTATATTCATAGTTCATGGTATGATAGCTCTGATTTGCGAGCATACCTAGACTGTGGCGTTTTAGTTGTTAGCATGCCGTCCATGTGAGTGACTGTTGCCCTTCTCTTCTATTCCCACTCACTGTTGCCCTTCTCTCCTATTCCCACTCACTGTTGCCCTTCTCTCCTATTCCCACTCACTGTTGCCCTTCTCTCCTTTCAGGTCCAGTCCAAACCGGAGAGGACACCTGGTACACCTCCACCGGCCCCGACTCTGCCCACGCCCACCTCCACCCCAACGCCGCGCTCACCTAGCCCTCCCGCGGCTCCGGTGGTAGTCACCCCTCCTCCCCCCGCCATCAACATTCCCAGGTTCTACTACCCCCGCGGGCTCCCCGCCACGGGCCCGGCCACCAACCACGACGCAGCCATTGCTGCCATCGAGGCGGCCTTCACGGAGTTTGAGGAGGAGAAGGCCGACATATATGAAATGGGCAAGATCGCAAAGGTCAGTAGTTTAACAACAGACATTACCACCTTTATAATGGTAGAAACACACTTTATTTCTTTTCTCTGAAAGAGTTTTAATTCCCAAAATTGAAATTTCTGAAATACAGTTTGCTCAAGGTTTTTATTTAGATTTGTATTATCCATATTTTTTTTATTACATGCACACCTGTGCTACGCCACACACGATTGTGTGCCTATGAGAAGCGAAAATGACCCAACCATTACTAATTTAACCCAAGTGACTATCAGGGTAAGTTAATGGTGTTGCTACCTTTCTCTGTGTGCAGGCATGCGGCTGTCCACTTTACTGGAAGGCTCCCATGTTCTCCTCGGCAGGTGGTGAGAGAACAGGCTTTGTGTCTGTTCACTCCTTCATTGCGACCTGGAGGAAGTAAGACAGGCCTCGTGTTCATCTAAGAAAGTCTCAGAGATGTGGCATTGTCACTCATCAGCTTGAACTAAGCGCCTCGTCTCCCGTAGGTTGTTGCACGGTTGCCACGACGATGCGTCGAGGTTCATCTCCCTGCTGGCCAAACCCAGCTGTAACTACCTGGAGCAGGAGGACTTGATCCCTCTGATGCAGGTAGACGTCACGTTAACTTCCATCGAGCCGTGACACAGTCTATGTGCTGTCCGCTGTATTAACCGCACACCTCTGTTTCTTTCTGTTTGGGTTTGAATGATTAGGACATAGTGGATACGCATCCTGGTCTCACATTTCTGAAGGATGCACCTGAATTCCATTCACGCTACATAACAACGGTAAATGGCTTAAAAAATGATATCCATTGCTCCTTTAATGTGATAATGTGTCAGTGTATTACAGTGTGGCAATATGAGTATTCTGCTATTTAATAATGCAGCTACAGCCTCTTATCTGTTATCCAAGGACACATATATATATATATATATATATATATATGTGTCCTATATATATATATATATATATATACACATATTTACAGTATCTTATGAGACTAAATCAGAAACCTAGGCTAATTGTCAGACTAGTAGAACTCACATGTGCTGTGGTGAAGGTCAAAGGTAAACATACTGAAGTACTAGTCAAACCATTACGACAAAATGATTAAACCTCCAATGGAAAATGTATGTAACAACTATATATATATATATATATATATATATATATATATATATCACTATTATTGATTTACTTACAATATCTTATTAATTTAACACAAGGAATACTAGTGTGCCTTAAAATTGTGAGACTGTGACGGTGGTGGTACTTTAAATTGTACATATTTGAAGGAGATAATACTACTCACAAATATTAAAAGTATTTTACAAACACTTAATCATTCTTTTATTATTTATAAAATATGATGTATTATCAAAGATTAACTGTCCAAAAGTTCTTTATTATATGTACACACATTGTTTATTTTCACAACAGGTCAGTGACCTCTCAGAATCCACTCCTCCTACACAGTGAAACAGCTCCACTGAACGCCTCGATACTTGAGCTGCAAACTGTATGTGCGTGTGTGTGTGTGTGTGTGTGTGTGTGTGTGTGTGTGTGTGTGTGTGTGTGTGCGTGTGCGTGTCGGTCGACAGCTGCAACACGTGCTTTAGAAGTCGAGGGTTTGCTGAGTAGAAGTGCAGAGAAGTCCGTCAGGGGACATCACAGAAACGCTGATGACCCCCCCCCCTCTCTCTTTCTCAGCAGAGGGCCCTGACTCCTCACATGCTCTTATAAAGACACTTCCTTCGGTTAAGGTCAGATGACCTGCTACTGTATGAGGCATGTGCAGCCCTGGGAGGTCCACGTACCAGGAAAGGCGTGCTGATCCAGTCTTTACGAAGCCTTCGTGTTGTGTTTCAGTGACCCCCTTGTTTCCATTGTACGATAAACACCCTCAATATGAATGTGGATGAAAATATCAGTTGTAGACGAATTGGTGTCTGGTCTCCCTCGTGGAAAGATGACGAATACGTTCAATAAATCTGGATGACAAGGCCGGGGGAAAATCCCATGTGAGTTTTATGCTATTTCCACAGACAGGCCGAGGCCAAGCAGCCTCGCAGCTCCACAGAGCGGCGACCTTTTGTCCTGAATCCCTTTTTAAACATCGATTAGCAAACAGACATAAAACACGCCATAGCCGCTTCCATCTATCAACCTATATAAAATATAATATTATCTCAATACATTTGTGCTCATAATTTAACTTATTTTATTTGACTTGTGCTTTGTTCTGTTTCGTTGTTTTTTTTTATTGCTGCTCAACTAGTTGCCAAAAGAGGGAAATAATCCTCATAATTCTCTATTGCGTTGCTGTACAAGCGATACTGTAAAGACTACATCTATACCGGGCCGTACCTCTAAAACTTATTCACTGTCAATGATAATCCTTACACGCTCTCGCTGTAACAGTATTGGTTCGGTCTTGCTGATGTAGCGGAAGAGTTTCAGATTTAAATGTCATTGTAGTCACTGTGTTAATCAGCACCATTCTGCCACTCTCTCTCGTCCCAGGTCATCCAGCGGATATTCTATGTGGTAAACCGCTCGTGGACGGGTCGCATGACCACGATGGAGCTGCGGCGGAGCAACTTCTTACAGACCCTGGCGCTGCTGGAGGAGGAGGACGACATCAACCAGATCACTGACTACTTCTCTTACGAACACTTCTACGTCATCTACTGCAAGTTCTGGGAGCTTGATACTGACCATGACCTCTACATTGACCCGAAAGACTTGGGAAGATACAATGACCACGGTAGGAACAACTTTCTGGAATACATCCGTACCTGAGCTTATCGAGAAAGAATCCAGGGCTCAAAGCAATAAAACAATAGATGTATTATGATATCGTTCTATTTGGATAAATAAATAAATGTGTTGGCCCTATTGCATTTAATACGGATTGTATGCCAGTAAAGAATCAGAAACAGATGTCTTTTGGATTTTGGCACATTCATTTGTTTATTTTCCATTTGTTAGACCCCCGCTAGCTAGTGCAGAACACAACAGCTGTTTGTCCTGGGCTCAACACTTCCATGCTGTCTCATGTGAAATGCATTACGTTGTTAACAGAATTATATGACCACTTAACCAAATTTTAATTCACTTACTCTGTACTTACTCGAGAGCACAATAGTTTACAACAGGACCCATTTGTTTCTGTGTCTTTAAACAAAAACCGTATTTGCTTATTTTTCTCATTCTCTCCTCTGACAGCCTCCTCAAACAGAATCATTGAAAGATTGTTTTCAGGGGCCGTTACTCGGTAAGTGGAAACACACAGATGAAAAAAGGGAGGTGATCACTTCACCAGGACGGTGCCGCTGAATGTGAGATTCTCCATTTCTCTTGTTTCCAGGGGTAACGCCGTGCAGAGGGAAGGCAGGATGAGCTACGCTGAGTTCGTCTGGTTCCTCATGTCTGAAGAGGACAAGAAAAATCCCACCAGGTGATGCAGAATGGGATTGAGCATCTGTTTGAGCATTGTGTGTGTGTTTGATGAATATGCTGCCCGTCGGGCCGATGTCACTCGGTTTGCAATTTAACCATTTCGGTCAGTATCTCTGAATGCACTTCTTGTATCCCTCTCCAGTATAGAGTACTGGTTCCGCTGCATGGACGTGGATGGCGATGGCGTCCTGTCCATGTTTGAGTTGGAGTATTTCTATGAGGAGCAGTGTGAGAGGATGGAAAGGATGGGCATCGAACCGCTGCCCTTCCAGGATCTGCTGTGTCAGATGCTCGACCTGGTCAAACCTGAGAGTTTAGGTCAGTGCCAGCACAAGCACGTCCAGGGTGTTTTTCTGTGTTATCTTATATTTATTGTGATCAAAAAAGCCCCACCTTGCTACTGTCCTTTTTGCCTTGCTATCCGACCACGGCGCGCGTCTAGCTAAGGGGGTTAGGCGATAGCTTACACATGCGTGTGTTGATTTCTCCAGGTAAGATAACCCTCGGTGACTTGAAGCACTGCCGGATGGCCCACATATTCTTTGACACCTTCTTCAACCTGGAGAAATACCTGGACCACGAACAAAGGGACCCATTTGCTGTGCAAAAGGTGGGAATTTACATCTCTATATTGATCAGGCACATTGCAGGAGGTGTCAATTTAGAGGGGAAAAGAGAAAAAACACAAAGCACCCAATTAAAAACATTTTTTTTCCTTCCTTGGTTAATTTATGAGAAATATGGGGAAGATGATTGTAATATAACGTTACATGTTGTGCCCTCAAGCAACACAATTCTACAGTAAACTTCACATATTATATTTTTTATATCTAAGATATTACTTGGAATTAAAAAACAAGTTACACAATGGGCTAATTTGCTTTATATACCCTCCCACACGTTTCATGTTTTCTTATGGTTTCAAAGCTTTTATTTTTGTCTCTTCATTTATTTTGTAAAATTGAATGATATTGTCTCTTTCCTCTAAAATGTGGATATTTGCTGTGCACGTGTCGTTCCAGGACGTTGATAGTGAAGGTCCAGAGCCATCTGATTGGGATAAATATGCTTCAGAGGAGTATGAGATTCTGGTTGCTGAGGAGACGGCAAATGAACAGCTACATGAGGGGTACGATGCTTACTCTTATACTTCCATACATGCCGAGGAGCCTTTTCCAGTTTTTCAAACACTTCTCACCAGTTGTACCTTTACATAAAGAAGACAAATTCCTTTCGTGTGATCTTAAGATTAGCTTGACAATAAAATTAAACAATAATTAACCAGTTCTCCTTTGCGTGTTGTGCTTACAGGTCCTTTGATGATGACTATGAATCTGAGGAGCTTCAAGTTACTGGAGAGATTGGCAGTAAAATGGAAAAACTGGTCATATCAGACCTGTCAGCATAGAACTCTTTACTTGGAATTCCTGCGCTTTTCTTTCCGGGGAAACTAACCGGAATGCGGCAATAGAAGTTCCCCGCGGACGGAAGCATCACAGAAAACATGGACTTAAAGACTCTTGATGACTCTGGAGTTCCCTCATCGCAGACGTATTTTGTGTGTCTGTGAGACTGCTGACCATCACTGTTCTGTGTCTGGTGCAACAGAGCATCTGTAGTCCTACAGAGAACAATTTCACTGCCTCCAGCTCTCTGCACCGTCCGAGAGAACAAAGCGAACTGTAGCAGAGGGAGGATGCGAGGGGGGGGAGGGTACGATTAGCTCTTAAAGGATTTAAGACTTAACATTTTACTGTAAAATAATGTAATTGTGAATTTTGACTACAGACAATCCTGCCAGCAGACAATCATCTGAAGGTAAACAGACAGGTAGACTCTTAGTTAGTGATATAGTGATAGGCACTGAAGAGCCACAGTCATTGCTCACGATGACACAAACGGACAAACACTGCCACCAGACTCCTGCTGCCTGTGCAGCTCGTCACTGTGTTCCTTGGGGAGGAAGTCGTTGAACCTCCTTTAAGGGGGGCAATCATGTAACAGTTCGGGTGGTTCTTACATTGCCTCTCTGTGGCCAGTCAGTGCTGCTGCAGGCTGTCGCCGTCCCGCACGTCGCTTCATGGCTGGCCAACTTTTTTTTTTTCAAAGAGGGAGTTCAGTTCAGTACAGCCCGAGCTGCGCTATTATTAGTGCGTCATTATCGTTGCTCCACCCCTGTACTCCCTTTTGAAATCATTTTTAAACCCTGTAAAAAGTCTCTCTCAGAAAGTACTGGAAAGTACCACTCGATTGTGTCATTTCTAAGTCAGGTCACGGTGAGACATATGCAACATGAAATGATGCATGTAGACAAACATATCAGCTCTCTGGTAGAGTTGCCCACACATTTCCGCTCATAAAGTTTGCCACGCGACAGATAAGCATCTGTGAGCTGCTCCTGTCAGTCTCACGCAGTTATCCAGCACAATATGTACAGCACCTGGTAATTACTTTGATATGTTTTAAAAAATGTATGCCTAAAATAATGCTTATCTACATCTCATTGTCTTACAATCTTTTTATGGAACATCTATTCTCCCCGTAACACACACACACACACACACACACACACTAAAGATGGCGCTTAAGGACTCAGTTTATGCAAATTATGAGTTTTCTGAAATCGGTCTCTGAGATCTGAGGAGTTGCGTTCCTGTAATTTGCTTTATGCTACTAACTTACTTTCTTTCACATTTAATTCAAACACAGGCAGAAATGTCAGTGACGGATATATTAGAACTTTTTCCAAACTGATTGCAAAGACCGATACACTGCAAGAGATTTGCCCTTTTAATTTGAATAAACTGACCCTTTCACTCCATTTCTTACTGTGCTGACAGGTGCATGTGTGCACACTGCCCGCACTGTCTTAGCTAGGAGAGTTTGTGTAGAAATAACGGCCAGGAGTGTGTTTTAGGAGCGTCTGATGTGTAGCTCTCAGTTTCGGGCTGTTTATCCTCTACGTCATAGTCGTTGCCATGGGGATGGTTCTCCCGGGGGGTCAGATTGTGTGTAAGTGTGTGCTTGTATAACCCTTTGATTAGGAATGGGACGGCTTTGTCCTTTCTAGCTTCAAATTCATGAACATATACCTCCATTACATGGCATTTACTGTACATACGCATACACTGATACACACACAAACACACACCACAGTTGTCTATTCAAAGGGAGAAAGAGCTTGAGGAGGCTGTAGCTTTCCTGCCTCTGCTCTATAGCCACTGTAAATGTGCCCCACTGTGTCTACACCTATATAGCTATAATAATACTGATAAGCTGTTATAAATATAACAGCTCCAATTTTGTATGTACTTAGATGGTTTGTATTGCTGTGCCACTGTGTGGCTTGTGTAAGGGGGGTACGATATGTTAGATGTGTGTATGTTTGTGTGTGTTCGTTGCAACGGTGGATTTCATCTGCAGAAGAGGGGGAGTCTTCTGAAGGACTGCTTTGACAATCACAAAAATGACGAGAAGCAGCTCAAACGGAGACCCTCTGAGACGGTTGTTTCCCTGCTGTGGTCACACACGCACACACACACACTCCTAAGAAGACCCACTCATCCAAACAGTGTTGAAGAAGAACTGTTGAAGGCAACGGGGCACTTCTGATATTGTCCTTCGCATCGGACGAGAGAAAGCCACGCGGGACTTTTAATTTGAAATTACAGCCCTACTTTGAGAGGTGGACGGGAGACTTTTATTTTGTATTACTTCCTCTGTGCAGTGCAGACTTGTGTAGGCTGAGATGTGTTCAGGCAGTTATTGTGTTGGCATGGTTTTCTTTCTGTCGGTCATTTTACTTTCTTCTCTCCTTTTCAATTTCTCTCTTTTCTTTATGATTTCTCTCTTTTCTCCATCAGTTGCCTTCTCTTGTTTTACGGGCCTGCCCCTGTTAGTGGTTGCTTTTGTCTGATGCTTAAAAGTTAAATAAAAATGTTTCAAGAATAATTCTCCTTTAAGATTCTTTATGGTTGCCCACATGCCCCTCAGAGTCACAAACATCTCCAACACACACACACATGTTAGTCATTCCCTCCCTGTGTACACACACTGTGTACAGTAAGTGTGTTTGTCTGCACTGGTGCTCATTAGAGTGTACTTTACAACCTTTGGAATTGCTGAGTTTGCTAACTGGCCTTCTGCACCTTTTTCCCTGACGGCATATATTTTGTACATGTCTACAGTTTCTGTACATGTGTTGGAAACGCGCAGAAACTGCATGAGGCAAAACTCAAACTGTTCTTTAAACATGGAAATTGACGCTACGGCACCTTGTGTTAACTGATGTGGTTTTAAGTTTCTTTTCCTCCCAGTGTAGGTGATTACTTGACACCAGCTCAGGTTATTGGCGGTTTCTCAGATCCACGTGGCCTGTGCTGTGACCGCCACGTGTTACATCAGCAGCTCTGTGAATAATTACACATTTAAAGTATTTAAAGGGTAGGGTAGGTGTTCTATACCCTATATTTGAACATGATTTGAATTTCAGGTAGCATAGTTTACGCCATAAGTTCTATAGTGGCATCGCACGTTCTGGTTTCCCAAACTACCAACTGCAGAAATGACTTCACCTTAATGTTTTCTTAGAGATGTAATTCATGGCAAACGTGTCTGTGAAGGGATTGTTGTCCTGAATACATCGATTGTCCTGGGAACGCTGTAATAGTTGGCATGCCAACATGTTGTGATTTCAGCAATTTGCCTCCCGTCAAAGGCCAGAGTTGACTGGTCATTGTTTGAAACGGCTTGTTTTCTTCCCTCCGCAATTGTCAGGCACAAAGCAATTAGTCAACCAGATCGCAGGCCGAGCTCCTTGAGTCACAGACATTCCGCTGCGGTGATTACCAACACCCACCCCCCCTGTGGTGGCGTGACACAGCCTCTGTGATGTCACCCCCTGTGATGTCATGATCAGAAGGTGTTCTGTAAGTAGGAACCCATGACATGATTGGCAGCGCTTGAACAAACACAGATCTCCCCGAACACGGAGCTTTAGATGGAAGCCGGCGGGAAAAATCGCCCAAAGGAACGAGAGGCAACTGGAACCAATTTGTCTTATTGGGGGAGAGAAAGACAGCGGACAGAGAGATGCGTCTGGGCACCAACGGGCCTTGAATCAGGCGTAAAGTTGTGCTTGTTCCAGACGTACCAGCGACACCAGGAACAGGGAGGTTTCAATGAAGCTGCTTGGAAACGTCCCGAGAAGAGCAACAAAGCAACTGGAAGTAATTCATCTTAACAAAGAAAGACACAGAAATGTGTGCGGATCCAAAAGGACTTTGAACGTTTCCCGTGTGTTCCAGACATTGAACAGACAATAGTGATCTTATAATTATAGATCTCCAACACATGCAATACCGAATATCAGTTCCAACCATTTAAAGCCACCATGTGCAGATGTTTTAGCCATGCTAGCGGCTCAGCTAGATGTGGGCCTGTTAGCATTATGCCTTTAGCATACAGCATCACCGTGCTGCTACAGCATGGTGATAATCGCCTCCTTCGAAAGTCTCCTGATGGCGTGATTTTAAAATGAAACAGACCCACGGGTCAAATGAAAACGATTACATTCACTGTGTTGATCATGTCTCTCAATATGCATGGCTCCTCTGTGTGCTCAGCCACGGCGTCCCTTTTTAAAGGCAAAATGTCATACTCGTGGCTTTAATTAGGAATAACATTACACGACTACGGTAATTATGCTCCTAATGTTCTTGCATAATTGACAAGGTATCTACTTGTGACCGATTAGTTTATATGTGTGATTCGAGCATTATGAGTCCCTATGTGTATTCCCAGCTCATTGCCAAGACAATAATAGCTTAAAATGGCTTCGATGACAGGAGGTGTTTAAGTGGCAAATCAGATTGAGCTCATTTGAGGGGGTGAGCGATAGAGAGAGAGATTGCCAAAAAGACAAAGAGAGAGAGCGAGGGAGGAAAAGAGGCATGCCTGCTCATGTTGGTGTGAAGAGAGATTTGGGTTGACTCCTTTGAACTCATGATGAGCCAAATTCCATCCTAGTACACACACACACACACACACACACACACACACACACACACACACACACACACACCTACACACACACACCAGCAGCAACCACCATGTTCCATTCAGGTCTTTTTTTTTGCTGCCAGACGCCCATTATCTTCTATATATCTATATCTTCTCTCACCTGGTGTCTCCAACTAGCGTTTCATCGCGCACACACCTGACCCGCAAGTAGACACAACATGCATTTATAAACACACACACACACATACACACACGCATGCAAGAGCGAGGCTGAGGCGTAATCAACGTTTACAAAACCACATGGAAGGGCCGGCTGCAGTCCAACAATCTCTCTCCCTGCTTTCTCTGCTCCAGAGTACGGATGCACACATCATATGCCCGGACACATTCCACTCACTTCAAAGACCTCTGGTGAACTGAGCTAGCAAGATTATAGGGAGCGCTCGCTTTAAAGAGCCTCAGAGAGAGAAGAATCTGGGAGGGAGAAGGGGGGGGGAGCAGCTGGGTTGGTGCTGGTGGAGTCTTGGCCCTGACACACACGGTGGGGGAAATAGCTGCTCCCTCCGTTCTTTCCTCATCTCCTCTCCGACACGGATCTGATCTAATGGGGACGGGCCGTCTGTCAAGTGTCTGACAGGTCACTCAGGGTTGCAGATCGTGTGTACAGATAACTTTAAATCGATGGGTTTGTCTTTTTGGTTTACGCGGTTCACTTTACAAAACTGTGGGAAAATCTCCCTAAAATTGAGTTGCAGCGCATGTTGCACAACAATCCGCTTCACACGTGTTTAAAAGTTCCTTCGCCCTTCCCAAAATCATCTGCTTCCCTTTATCTACGTTGTCTTTTTCGTGATCAATACAGATGTGACAGAGGAGATCAATAAGGGATAATATAGATTCCGCTCATTAGTGTATTGCAACAAATAGTTTGAATATTATTGTTAATTCAACTTTTTGGACCAAGAAGAACAAGAAGTCCTTAATGTGCTAAGAGAAAGTTTCAACATGCACATGTCCATCATCTTTTGATGGAGATCATGTGATGGAGATCATGCATGCTCCGGCACATACTGAATTAAGATTGTCTTTTCAACTAGAAACACAGCTAGAAACTGTTGACACATTTCCAAAGAGTGGAATAGTGGAAATATTCAATTAAAGCTAAACTTCCATCATATTATTAGTGAAAGGAATGGAATGTAGTTGTGAGCTTTTCCATTCCTGCTTTATGCTTTTATGATGCTTTTAGAATGAAACTATTTCTGCATTGCTCAAATTAACTTCCACAAAATGTGATGGGACAATTAGTCTGTTTAAGTAGTATCATAGTATCATACACTATTTCTTAGGGTGCTACGGAGTCTGTGTGCACCACAGTGTGTTTACATGATGGTATAATTCGAATGTGGATCCCTGGGACAGAATCTTTCTCTGTGTCAGAAGGAATCCGTCTGCCACATCAATTGCCCCTTGAGGATGATTTGTGTTTGTTGAATAGACTTTAACTTTATTTAATTCCTTGTGGGCACACTGTCCTGATATAATGCCTTTTCCCCCTAATGGCTCAGAATTACACAAGTGGCTGTTTTCTTGCTGGAATGTGTGTGTGTGTGTGTGTGTGTGTGTGTGTGTGTGTGTGTGTGTGTGTGTGTGTGTGTGTGTGTGTGTGTGTGTGTGTGTGTGTGTGTGTGTGTGTGTGTGCGTGCGTGCGTGCGTGTGTGTGGAGCGAAATCTAGAACTCAGGGGCAACGGGTGTATTTGGCTGCTTGCTTGAAAATACTGAATGAAAGAGGCAGATCACTGTTGGAGACAAACTTGTACATAACAAAGTTAAACCAGGATAAGAACTATTTTTGGTTGTATTTTCTTTTTTGTTCTGTAGCTTAGATTTAAAAAAAACGTATAAAAGTTACTATTATCTAACGATCTGAACCTGTCAGTGAGTCTTATGTTGATGTTATTGTGTAGTTATACTCACTTTTATACAGTTTTCTGTTGATTTCCTGATTTAAATCCCATTTTAGTTATGAAATGCTCGTGAAATCACTCGAGATAAGTAGATGGTCCTTCCATCAATGTGGGTTTGTAATGGAACCATGCAACAGGTTTAATGCTCTGATCCGGACATGTACTTGTCGTGTTAATGTCTTGATTCCAAGCGCCAACACGTCCGGCTAACTTTCTACACAGATAATATCACTGCGCGTGCTCAGTTAAAGTAAACCAAATACTGTGTCGCTACATGTCTAGATATAATCTTATTTTGATACAATCTATCAGCAGTAGATCTGGTGATGATTGAGCGCATTGGTTGAAGGAACTGGTCATAGAGATTATTCATAGAATATTTTACCCAACACAGAACCCATGACGGCTTGAGGAGGTTTTCTGCGGAACTATGTGACAGATTCAGAAACAATTTCCCTAATTTTTAACTTTTTGACCTGTAAACTGAGGGATGTGGGGGTCCATTGCAGCCAGCAGAGGGACTTTGGTCTTTTCTCTAAAGTGTGTCAGGGACACTGGGACAGCGATCAGTCCAACCTGAGGAACTATAGGTCATGTCTCATGTTATACTAAAGCCCTTTTTCACCAATACCGACAATCATTGATTTTTTTTAATGTTTATCTTAATTTAATGAAATATCGGCTGAATGATCAATGTGTGCAAAGTGACACGGGTCAAGCAAGTCATCTGCTGATGTAGGTTGTGGTCTGCAGGGGTTCTGTGTCATGATGACAGATAAACACAAACCAGCCTAAACTGGATTCAGCTTGCTTTTGTTTGCAGAGTTCACTACCCACCTTGGCCTGGCATAACAAAAATGCTCTAGGACACAACATTCTTTTCCATCTAAAAACTAAAGTAAATAGCAATGGTAGTAATATTAGAATGTTTTTTTTTCTACCTGTACCTGATCAGTGGTCACCCAAAAAGATGAACTGAAATTAGAGTTGAAACAGTTTCCAAATATGTCCAGATGGCTAAAAAAATCAGAATTTATATAAGGCATTTAATGTTGATATCGATACATAAATGGATGTGATGAAAAATAGTGCATCATAAATAGTTTAGTAACGGTTGAAAATCCCCAAATCTTGTTGCCTTTAAATTACCCACCCTGTGTTAAAAGACGCGCCCGCAGATTGCTTCTTCCACACAGGTGAAGCAGCAGCCCCGCCCTCTGTGTCGTTCTCTTTTTCAACGCGCGGTGTATTACGGTAAAAACAGAAGGAGGCGGGCTCCGACCTACATGTGCGTAGCGTTTTGATTGACATGGCGGAGTCTCCCAGTACGCGTAGCGCCGCGCCAGCAGACAGGCAAGACCCGACCCTGGGAATAAAAAAACACGCAGCCGCGTCCGTTTGAAGATTATTTTATTACAGCGAGGTGAGTTCTCCTTACGCTTGTTTTTCTAAAAACAAACCAACTAGAATGGCGGCCGACGGAGTCGATGTTGAAAAAGTTTTAAAAAGTGCTTGTCTTTGAGTCTGTGTGTGTGTGTGTGTACGCGCGCGCGTGTGTGAGAGAGTTTGGAGAGCTGACGCCGGCAGTCTGGGCCACTTGGCCAGCGCAAAGGAAAAAGGAAAAGCGGCTCCTGGGCGGCCGATGTGCTGGCGAAATCGAAACTTTTTTTGGGAGGCAAAAACGTTAAAACAGGTCAAACGCTAAAGCTAGAAGGGTAGTTCTTTTTCCACGAGTGGATTCTGCACTTTTGTGGCACCCGATTGCGCTGCTTTCCCGAAAGAATGTGTTTTCGTCTCCGAGGACTTCGGATGGAGTGAGTGCGCCACGGAAGAAAGACTTTTTCTCTGCGCGTCTCTGTGTCTCTCTTTGCCCGTTTTCTGCAACTAAATCGCAATCGTTGCGCCGCGACTTTCCATCTGGAAACAATGGTCGGTCGTGTCGCTGCTGCCCCAAAAAATCAGGAAATGAACACTTTTGCGTGGCTGGAAAATGACTCGTTATGGAAGATGCTGCGGCGGTCACATTTGACAGAGGTGGAGGTGGTTGCGGGGTCCTTTGAATTGGCGCTATAGGCGGTAATAATGCATTGGTGTAACTGTTGGACAGCGGTGTTTTCAAGCACTTTCCACCGGAGTTTGTGCGCCTTTTTGCAGAATGCAGGAAAAAGGCTAAAAAAAACCCAACTCCAGCATATCCTAGCATTCCTTCCAGCCAGTCTCCCTCTCGCTCCCTCTCTCTTTATCTCCCCCTCTCTCTCCCTCTCTCAGAAATGACTACGTGTCTGTGTGTTTGTGCAGGGAAGACAAGTCTCTCTCTCTCTCTCTCTCAGCCCCCTTCGATGCAGACGTGGAAATCAAACATTGGTCTCCTGCTTGTGAGCGATCGATTATCCTCCACGTAAGCGCGCAGGAGAAGGGTGGGAGGGGTGGGGGGGGGACAAGAGATGTGGCTGCTAGATGCACGAGATGACTCTGGAGACCGACTTTGGTGGTTGTGCGTTTATTAAAACTAATTGGGAAGCTGTCATGATGAGGGAGGGAGGGAGGGAGGGGGGGGGGGTCCCGAAGAGCAAATCTTCTGGATTCGGTGGGCACATTGGAGAATATAGGCTAATGAAAAGGAAAAAAAAAAAACCGTAACACTTTTCTGACACACTCACACACATGCGCGCGCTCCCGGCTCCGTGCACTTCTGTTTTTTTTTCTTCAGGAGAGAATGAAGAGAAGGAGAAATCCGATCCCAAATACATGACGTCAGATAACATTCCTTTGTAAGAAAGGCTGATGTGGCCATGCATTTTTTTCTTTCTGTAAAAAACTGATATTGGGCGTTAATTCACTTCGGGTGTTCCAGGTTGGTGGGACGAAAGGATGCGTTTAGAAGGCTTCTGGTTTAGAGCCCCAGAAAGTTTCATCTCTGCAGCTCCAGTGTGTGAAACAGTTGCCGAAGGCGCTGTTGGGTTTTGCAATTGACTCCCAAAGTCAACTTGGTTGGTGCACTGCAGATGACCGATGAGTTCGAGCCATATTATCGAAGGTGTGTTTTGTTTCACGGGTTAAGTAATGCACCTATACCCCTCTTAACACACGGCCAATGAGGTTTATATCACTGATGGCTGACAGTTAAGCCTCTTTGCTTTCAACATTTACATTTTCACAATGAGAATGTAAACAAGGCTCCCAGGCCGACTTTTGAAAAAGTCCCGAAAGCCCTGTTCTGTCGTCCTCGCATTCTTGGCAAATTCGGTCGAAAGTTTGGATGAAAAAATCTTATTTCAGCATCTGTAATGACAGGCCTCTGGGTTTTTTATGTCTCTGCACTGTATGTTTGAGTTGAGTTGGCGGTGTGGAGAGCCAGGAATGCAGTGGAAGAGGATCTAAAACAGCATAATGTAAGCAGGGATTTGCACCCAAACTGATGCAATAACGCGCAAAGTGAATTTCCTCTACCAATTTGAATCCGCCTCTTGTAAAATCCCCTTTCTCTGTGGTTTAATATAAAAAAAAAAAACCCGCTGCGATTCTATAACATAAGAGAAAGAAGGGCGGTGAGACCGGAGTCAGGTTGAAGGAGGGGGGCCATTGTCGCTTTGGCCTTTCTCCGTGTTGAATGGCGCTTAATGCAACCATCCGGCTTCGTCCCACAGGTACGACTCATTCAGCCGCGTCCGTCTGGCCGACGGTGCGTCACGACCTACACGCGTAAAAACCCGGATTGGTTAATGGCTGCCAGGAATTCTGAGTGTGTCATTAGAAAGTCCATTAGTTGGGCTTTCTCTGATAGACGGTTTTACTGAATGTAATCAAAGTTTCCCAACCTCCCCTTTTCTTCTCTAGCGGCTGAAAATACTCTGAGTTTTGCCTCTAATATTCCGAGGCGGGTTATTCTAAGCGCGTTGAGGAAGTTGTTGGTGTGTCTCATGAGGACTTGTGATGCCGTCTGTCTCCGTGTGACCTCAGGCACAATCTGGGGCCGCCGGTTTTCTACCCGCAGCGGCCTGTGGTTCGCTGTAAGACCTTCAGGTACGCCAGGTCCAGATGGGGTCAGGGAAGGGACAGGACGAGTGTGTCACTTTGGAAACGTTATTGGAAGGTTCTGTCGTCTTAGAGCCAAACCCACCTTCCTTTGCATTACTGTGCATGAGGGCTTGATGGTTATTTCTGATGGGAATTGCATTAAGCCCAGTGCGGTCCCCCAGTTACTGCTTATTCTGCACATAGTCGTCCCCAATGGCGATAACCTGCCCGTGTCTGGGATCCTTCCTCTCCGTCAGTCGCACCATCTGTTTCTCCAAGTGCAACAGGTGTGTCTCGCAGAGAGCTCGCAGGCGTCTGTCTTTCTGTGGGCGAGCGGCGGCTTCCTGCTTGTTTTACTTATTGGCGGGTTGGATGCGTGGCGGCGTGCTTGTTTCTGCGAGGTCGAGGGGTTGGAGCCTGAAGTGCAGGAGGAGAGTTTCCGCAGTCACTCTTCTGCCCCCGATGACGCGGAGCGGAGCGGCGGCGGCGCTTCTCGCTGTGGCGGTCGGAGCCGTTTGGCTTGAAGACTGTCTTCTGCTCCCGGGTGATGGAGTGCAGCGGGTCTCTAGAGGGGACACCGGCCCAGTCTTTCATTTCTATTAAACAGCATAAGCTTGAAAACATGAAATGATCGAAAATAGTTAGCAGATAAATCTCGTGTCCGCCAATTCATTTCTTCAGCCGCGTTGAATACTGCGACTACAGCATGGAACGTTTCTCCTTGTGATGATGTCACCGAGGGCCTCCGTGATGCTGCTCTTCTCTCAGGCCGTGAATAGAACCGACTGTCTGTTCGACCCAACGCGGCCCTCGTTATCTACTGCTTGATGCTTTCGCTTTCAATTCCCCGGCTTTCCCTTCCCTCTGCCTCTCGTCTCCGCGCTGTCTCCCCCCCCCCTGCAGGCTCTCTCCCTCCTCTGTTTCCTGCTGGCTCTTTCTCTCCCATATGAAAGGTGGCTTTTTTTGTGAAGTATCCCAGCATCTCGTGTTTGCTTGGCACAGAGCTGTGATGTTTACCCTCCTCCTCCTCTCTCTCTTTCTATCTGCCTCCCTCCCTCCCTCCCTTCCTTCCTCCCTTTTTCCCTTCCTCTCAACTTTTTTTTGCCGTCTCTCATGCTAATTTCCTGCATTGTTGATTGTTGATTTTAGAAGAAGATAAAATAACCTTCTCAACTGCCTGTGTCCCTCATTCCCCGTCGCTCGCTTCCTCTCCTCTGTGTCAATTCATAAAATCTCAATTAAATCAATCGTTTGTGATCATAGATTCATAGTCACGTAACGTCTTTTCAAGTGAACAGTGCCATTGTAAAAAGGGACACGGCATGTCAACAATTTTCAAAATCAATTTATTGCATTCGTACATTTTCAAGCGGAAAAACATGGGGGGATTTTGTGAGGATTTTCTCCGTTTCTCTTTCTTGTTTTAGCGCCAATCGAATATTTGTTGATTTTCAACTGAAGCAAACTGAAGATGTCCCCTTGGGTTTGAAAACTCCCTCTGCAGTGTGTTGGACATATTCCACTATTATTTAAGACCAGGGTAGTTGTGGCTTTACTTTTGTGTAGCAGAAGATAAGTAAAGGCAAAGTAGTTAAAATAATAAGTAATGGTTTGTTAACATAAAACAAAAACGTCCCGCGTAGCCAAGACTTTCCCTTTGTGTAGAGCTGATTTCATTCGCTGCTCATCCCTGGGCGGCATTGAGAAGGTCTCGACAGCGCTGCATCGCACAGGAGAATTTGCCGATTAGAGCAGCAGACGAGGAAATAAAAATCGTGACAAATAGATAACGTGTTTGGAATCCGGTAATTAGGCTGCCAGCCGGTAAAGTTTTGTGCATAGATGCACACGTGCAGGAAATCGGTCCCGCCGTGCACAGTTCTTGGGGAGCTCGTTGAAGAGTGTGTCTGTGTGTGTTTGTGTGTGTGTGTCGGTGAGAGAGAGAGAGAGAGCATGTGTGCACAGTCAGCGTGCACCTGTACACACACAGAGCACCAACCTAACACACATGCATGAAACACACACACACACAGTTAACTTGCCTGCATTAGCACGCTAGGCGAGTTGACGTTGCTAGTTGGCAGGCCTGTGCCGCCAGACGTTAACGGCTGTTTTTATGCCCGTCTGAGCGTCTCGAGTCGCCCGTGGGCTTTGGGTTCATGCGCATGGAATTGAATCCGTAACCGGTTACAATTCTGATTGTTATTTGGCAGAAATTGGAACTCTTGCACACGCTTTTAAGTATCCTCTCTCCGTGGGTACGTAGTGTGTAGATGTGTGTGTGTGGTACACATGT